TCGCCTCATTTTCGTTTTATGTTCATCGAGTCAAATTTAAAACGCGCAATCTAACTTCAGCAGATCAAAACGAACAATTTGAAACTATCCAAAACCAACTGAAGAAATTCAACAACAACAATAACAAATCGACTTAAAATCAATCGAATAATGAGACTCCAACAACCTTTATCAAGTTTCAAACATTTCGCAATATTCAAATGCAGTGCATTCAACGCCTCCTCAAACGACTGTCCGTTGAATTGCGGTGGTGAAAAATGGAAATTCCCATTGAAATAATCATCAATTACTTGCGACATTACCGAATAATAATGTGATGTGACTGCCAAATAATCGGATGTACGTTTTGCTTCCGCATATAAGCGATCATGCTCTTGACGGAATTTCACCTTCAAACATCAACTTGATCCAATTGTTTACTCCATTAAGGCCCTACCTAATGCTTACTACCCTTGCCCTGTCACAACACTGTGTACTTCAACTGCCGGCACTCTACAGCATACCAGACTAAAGTAAAACGACTGCAATCTCATGGTATGGTATGTATGAAACGATCGGTATCGCATTGAGGATTTTCATGTTCTACTCACGACCACTGAATAGGTGACGCTTCGTCTTGGATGGCCTTGTCTTCGCATTCCGTACTTCAATCTTCAATTCCCATTCCGTACTGCATAACGTTCACAACAACCCTATCACATTTCTTTGAAAGGTGTCCATTATGTGGTTTTCCCTACCTGCTTGTATCACACACCTATGAATTATTCTCACTCTTTCCCATCCGGCGAATATCGCTACAAAAAAGACTGATAATTTGAAATTCTGCAAAAAAAACCAATCACTACAAGAAATTCAATATAAAAAGTTTCATTAGAACATTACAACAAACAGAAGAAGCGAAAAACAACAAGAAATTAATTGCACATTGTTATAAGAGACTAAAATGATTTCGAAATTTAGAAAACAACTACAATTTAACGTTAGTGTAATCGATACTGCAGAGACAAATCAAGTAGAGATACATTAAAATTGACACCGTATTTTTTGACAAAAAGAGAAACCATCAAGAAAATAACTGTCAAGAT